TCTCTGCTTCATTCGGGAAAAAGCTGCACTTGCAGAGCTCATGCGGTGTTATATTTCAGTGTCAAATGTTGACGTCTGTAGACTGTCCACATCTCACAGGCATATAGCAGGATTGGGAGGACAATAGCTTTATCAACAAGCCCCTTGGTATCCCTACAGATGTCCCGGTCCTCAAACACTCTCTGCTTCATTCGGGGGAAAAGCTGCACACGCAGAGCTCAGGCAGTGTTATATTTCAGTGTCAAATGTTGATGTCTGTAGACTGTCCACGTCTCGCAGGCGTATAGCAGGGTTGGGAGGACAATAGCTTTTTCAACAAGCCCCTTGGTATCCCTACAGATGTCCCGGTCCTCAAACACTCTCTGCTTCATTCGGGAAAAAGCTGCACTTGCAGAGCTCATGCGGTGTTATATTTCAGTGTCAAATGTTGATGTCTGTAGACTGTCCACGTCTCGCAGGCATATAGCAGGGTTGGGAGGGCAATAGCTTTATCAACAAGCCCCTTGGTATCCCTACAGATGTCCCGGTCCTCAAACACTCTCTGCTTTGTTCGGGCGAAAAAGCTGCACTCGCAGAGCTCAAGCGGTGTTGAATTTCAGAGTCAATATTGACTTCGGTTTCGAAACCACAGCTCCCAAAACTCCATAGCACTGAGCCCTGGTAGTTCAAGTGGAATCAAACCGCATTCATTCTACGGTGCGGACACATCCTACTCCACATTTCCGTCCCCTCCTAACGTGAAATGGTGGCTGGAGAGTTAACTATGGCCCAAAACAACCGTTTTAAAAAGTTAACACGTTTCTGACTTTTCTTTTACGAGGCCAACACGTTTTTATACCGAAATCTGTAAAAGCCAGAAGGACAAGCCAACGGGAGAAAGGAAATTGCCTTCTGAGTGGGAGAATTGGGGGGGAATTACATAAACAAGGAAAGAATTTAAGGCCGGCTTTAAAAGCAGGGTTTTGAAAAGTGTGCAGATTGCAAGGAAAGAAGGTTTTCGGGATTTCTGCCAAGGGAAAACTCCTTTCCCTTTTGTGGGAGCGTTCCACCTCTCGCAGGGAAAGAGCACCACCTAGAGATGCTCGGGAGAGGGATCTGATGTGTGGTCCGTAAGAGTGCATCTACACTGTAGAATTAATGCAGTTTGATACCATTTGGACTGCGTAGGCTCAATGCTATAGAATCCTCCGAATTTGGTACACTTTGGCAGCGAAGGCAAGACCTTGCAAAACTACAACTCCCAGTGTCAAACTGAAATTGAGCAATTTTAAGTGAGATGCAGGCCGCAGATAGTGAAACCGCGGATACTGAGTTCCGATAAGCAGGTATCGGCACTGGCAGCGGTTCGCCGGTGGATCTGTGCGCCTGGTGAGAAAGAGAAGCTAATCCAATGTGTTGCTGAAGGCTTTCATGGCCAGAATCACTGGGTTGCTGTGAGTTTTCCGGGCTGTCTGGCAATGTTCCAGAAGCATTCTCTCCTGACATTTCACCCACATCTATGGCAGGCATCTGCAGAGGTTGTGAGGTCTGTTGGAAACTAGGAAAGTGGGGTTGATATATGGAATTAAGTCCAGGGTGGGAGAAAGAATTCTTGTCTGTTTGTGGTGAGTGTGAATGTGGTAACTGCCCAATTTGATTAACATTGAATGGCATTGCAGCTTCAAAGCCTGGCTGCTTCCTGTCTGGAGGAATCCTTTGTTGGAAGGTGAAATCATTTTGTTAACCAAGGTCTGCTTGTATTGTGTCAACTGAATGGGGACCAAAACTGGGTTGCTGTGAATTTTGCGGACTATCTGGCCATGTTCCGGTAGCATTCTCTCCTGACTTTTTGCCCTCATCTATGGCAGGCATCCTCAGAAGTTGTGAGGTCTGTTGGAAACTAGGCAAGTGGGGTTTATATATCTGTGGAATGATGTCCAGGGTGTTGGAGGCAAGTGTGAATGTTGCAATCTACCATCTTGATTAGGATTGAATTGCCTTGCAGCTTCAAAGCCTGGCCGCTTCCTGCCCGGGGGAATCCTTTGTGGAAGGTGAAATCATTTTGTTAACCGAGGTCTGCTTGTATTCTGTCAGCTGAATGGGGACCAAAA